ATACTGTTGAAGTTAATACGTATTCAAATAATTATATTATATAATTATGATGACATATAATGTTATATATTTTGAAATAATAAATGAATAACGTGGCAGAATGCTCGGTTGATCAGATCACCAATTGATAAGCTCGAAATCGATATGGTACGGAGACTCTTTGCGATCGCAAAGATTATAAGGTCGATAGAAAACTATTGTCGAGGGACGCGTCCTTTCAGCTTGAGGGCACTCCTTGCAATCGTAGATGTACGTTCGCGGAAAAGGAACGAGGCCGATTGTTCGTTGCGGATGACCGGCGTCGACCTCCGCCGAACAGTCAAAGATGTTAGAAACGCAATAGAATCGAAGCTCTCTTTTTCGTTATCGTTTCATTCGAGCATTCGCACGCGTATTCGTCTTTCGTATCACGTTGATAGCGAGCTTGCGTGCGCTGCCTGAGAATGTCGAAGCTATTGCGAGTTGAGCAAGTTGACGAAATTGGTGGGTTGATCGTGTACGCACGCAGTGACAAAGGTCGATGAAATGCATCAAAATTGGCCACGATATAGAACATATGCGAAATGGATAGTTGAGAAAAATAGTTGATGAAAAATCGGGCATTTAATTGACGCAAATTATTAAACAATAATAACATTGGAATTGAGACCATTTTATACGAGTACGTCACCTAAATACGAGAAGTGCCACTTGACGGTCTCAAAGTTGAATGTTGAAACTACGTATATGTATTCTTATTGAAATGAATTTATTTCAGAAATATGATTGCGCGCCGTTACTGTCTCGGACTTTCTACGCAATCCATCTGAAACATTAAAATGATCCCCCGAAATCTTAAAAAACTAATAAATTTAATGCAAATTATTAAATTTGATTCAAAATATAAAAAAAATACTGCAAGACACATTTGGGATGTATTATTTTGAAAAAAATAACTTTTGAAAAGAAATGGAAGAATGAAAATTACTTATAGAAGAATATATTTAGAATCGTGTAATGTAATAAAGCGATTGATTGATGAATGGCTTTATTATATTAATGACGGAGTCATTTCCTTAAGAGCATTTAATGGGATTCACTGGATGTTATTACATCAGCAATTAAAAAGAGAGGTATCCGTATTCTCGTCGATATGCACGATAAGCGAAAGAGGTCAGCTGGCAAGCCTGGCTCTCGACAGTAATTGGAGCGCGAAGAGTCAAGTTGCATTTCCAGGACGATAACGGTCATCAAACAAGAATCCTTGTCTCACGATCGCGTGGCGTATCGTAATCGATGAAATCTCGATAGGCAGCCTCGGCTTGCGTCGTCTTTTATTCACTCATTATGAGCTTTCGTTTACAAAGGATTTCATCTTCTTGCGTAACAATGTCCTGCAATGGTTTTTTAGATTTTAAAAAAGTCTCCGACCGAAAGCACTTTGCTTCAGCTCGTTGAAGGCTTTGATCTTGAATTAATGTAAGTCAATCGGTGGACACAACGATAATCGTCCCATCTATATCGAATCAATTCCATCGCTCCGATCGATGTTCATTGCAATGACGGAAAGAAATTCTCTTCAGGCATTTGTCCTTCCCGCTTCCGGGAGGAGTGCCGTAAGAACCCATCACGGAAAATCCATCTTCTCTCTTTATCTCTTTCCCATTTTTATGCACGGATCATATTAAGCTCCCCCAAAGTATGTTCTTCTCGATAATAGAGAACGAGTTATTTACTTTAATTTAATTCCAAAGACGAACGAATAAGAAGAGTTACTCGTTTATCTACTTACAAGCGTGATTTCTCCAATAAATATTTAAGAGCACTTAATTTAATGAAG